CGGTTCAGAAGGATGGCGAAGCTCTTTGAAGATCTGCGTGTGTGTTTGTGCACACGTGTGCACACACGTGTGTAGGGGTGGGGCCGTACAAGTGTCTGGGGCTGCGTGCACATATGTGCTTGCATGGCTGTGTGTACATACGTGTATCTCTGCACACAAGTGTGTATGTGAACAGAAATGTGTGTGCAAACGTCCACACATGTGTGTGTCTATGTAGGCATAAATGTGCATGCAAGAATGAGTGTGTGTGCATCGTTTACACGTATGCGTGCACACGTGTGTCCGTCCATGTGCATGTGCATGCATGTGTCTGTGTGTGCATGTGTATCTGAGGACACACCTGCACACAGCAGTGTGTGTTTGTGTCGGCACGAGTGTCTCTGGGTATGTGTGTGTACGTTGCACATGTGTGTGAGCTGGAGTACATGTGTCAGTGTGCCTTCTTGTATTCCTGTTTGCACGTGAGAGTGCACGTGTGTGCAATGCACGTGTGTGCAATGCACATGTGTGCCTGTGAGAGTGCATGTGTGAACATATTAGTGTGGCACAGCAGTGTGTGTTTGTGTCGGCACAAGTGTCTCTGGGTATGTGTGTGTACGTTGCACATGTGTGTGAGCTGGAGTACATGTGTCAGTGTGCCTTCTTGTATTCCTGTTTGCACGTGAGAGTGCACGTGTGTGCAATGCACGTGTGTGCAATGCACATGTGTGCCTGTGAGAGTGCATGTGTGAACATATTAGTGTGCATGTGTGTGCACACATATGTGTGCATACGTATGTGTGAATCTGTGTGTGCAGCTGATTGTCCATGCATGTGTGTGGAGGTGTGCAGCTCTGTGTGCATGTGTGTGCACATGTGTGCATGCATTTGTGTGCATGTGCGTGCCCACATTTGTGCATATGTATGTGCATGCGTGTGATTGTGTGTCTGCGTGTGTCCATGTGTGTGCATGCACGTCTCGTGTGTGCATGTGTGCACGTCTCATGTATGCATTTGTGCACATATGTGTGCATTTGTGCATGCAGGTGGGAGCACACATGTGCGTACATATGTGCGTGCATATGTTCATGTGTTCATATGTGTGTGCAGCATGCATATGTGTGTGCTTGCGTATGCAGGTTTGTGTGCAGGTGTGTGCATGGGTGACTGCACATATGTGTGTGCATGTGCACGTATGTGCAGGTGTGTGCACGGGTGTATGTGCATGCAGATGTGTGTGCATGCATATGCACACATAACTGCGTGTGTGCACGCATGTGTGCATATGCAGTGTGTGCACATGTGTGCAAGTGTGCATTCGTGTGAGTGGGCAGCCATGTCCAGTTGTGTGTGTTTGTGTGTCTGCACATTTGTGTTTATGTCTGTGTGCATGCTTGCACGCATGTGTGTGCATGTGTGTGAATGTGGGTGCATCCTTGTGACTGTGCATGTGCACATGTTTGTGCACATGTCTGTACAGGTGTGTGTACATGCATGTGTCTGATGTGCACACATGTGTGTGCATTCAGGTGTGTGCATGCATGCGTCTCCATACCTGTGTGTAGGCGTGTGTGCAAGTGTGAGTGTGCATGTGCATGTATGTGAGTGCATGCATGTGTGAACATAAGCTTGTGCACATGTGTTTGTGTTTGTGCATGTGTGTGTGCAAACATGTGTACCTGTGTGACTGGACGTGTGTGTGCATTTGCACATGTATGTGTGCAGGTGTGTGCACACAGACATGTCCTGCATGTGTGTATGCACACGTGTGTGCAGGTGCGGGTGTGCATATATATATGTGAATGTGCAGGTGCACATATGTGCACGCATGTGTGTCTGTTCACATATGTCTTTGCATGTGCATTGCACATATATGTGCAACGATGTGTGTTACCATGTACATGCATGTTTCTGCAGCCGTGTGTGCATGCATGCGTGCATAGTTGTGTGCAGGTGTGTGTACACGCTGAGTGGGCATGTGTGTGAGTGTGTGTGCGCATATATATATGTGGACACGTGTCTACATATGCTGGCATGCATTTGTATGCATGTGTGTATGTCTGCATGCATCTGTGCATGCTTGCGCACACGTGCGTGCATGCCGGTGCATGTGTGAAGTTGTAAATGTGTGTTCACGTGTGCGCATGTGCATGTGGGTGCATGTATGTGACTGTACATGTGTGTGCATATGCATGTGGGCACATGTCTGCGATTGTACATGTGTGCGCATGTGCACATATGCCCGTGTGTGCAATTTTATGTGTGTGCTCATAGGAATGTAGGGACATGTGTGCAGTTGTACATGTGTATGCACGTGTGTGCATACGCATGTGGGTGCACGCATGTGACTGTACATGTGTGTTCCTGTGCATGTGCATATATACCTGTCAGTGCATGTGTGTGATTGTACATGTGTGCATATGCATGTGGGTGCATGCGTGCAATTGTACATATGTGTGCACGTGTGTGCATATGCACCTGGATGCATGTATGTGGCTGTACACGTGTGTGCATGTGTGTGCATATGCGTGTGGGTGCATGTGTGTGACCGTGCACACGTGTGCCTGGGTGTGTATACCCATGTCAGTGCATGTGTGTGATTGTACATGTGTGTGCATATGCATGTGGGCCCGTGTGTGCTGTTGTACATGTGTGTTCAAGTGTGTGTATACGCATGCGTGTGGTTGTACATGTGTGTGCACGTGTGTGCACATGCACGTGGGGGCATGTGTGCAACTGTACACCTGTGCACGTGTGTGTATATGCATGTGTGCGGTTGTACATATGTGTGCATGGGTGTGCATACGTACGTGGGCACATGTATGTGACATATGTGTGTGCATCTGTGTGCATATGCATGTGTGCCCATATGTGCGGTTGCACATGTGTGTCCAAGTGTGTGCCATACCCATGTGTGTGGTTATACATGTGTGTGCACGTGTGTGTATATGTGTGTAGGTGCATGTGTGCAATTGTACGTGTGTGCACGTGTGTGCATATGCACGTGGGCACGTGTGTACAACTGTGCACATGTGTGCACGCGTGTGTATATGCACATGGATGCATGGATGTGACTGTACATGTCTGTGCATGCGTGTGCATATACATGTGGGCACACGGGTGCTGTTGTACGTGTGCTCACGTGTGCGCACACCCATGTGTGCGGCCGTACATGCGTGTGCACATGTGTACCTCTCCGTGCGCGCACACGTGTGTGACTGCGCAGACACGCACGAGCCTCTCCCACACGTGTGTGCAAGTGTGTGCTCACACGTGTGTGCCCTCCAC